ATGCCAAAATAGGGATTCACTGCAGAGATGAGGAGTTTAGTGATGCAGGGGGACATAAAATTCGAGTTGCTGCTCCTCATGTTGATAGAAGCCAGTTGTGCTTTTTCAGGCACCTGGTACAGATACCCTGGTGGAACTCTGACTTAATAAAATACTTAGCTCAATATGTAGCTCTGTGGTTAACACTGTCACCTTGGTTTTTTATGTGTTATCCTTGTGATGGACTGGCTGTCTGTACAGGATGTTTCCTTGCTTTCAATCAATTCATAATAATAAGCATGTATGGATAATCGATACTAGTATTTCCCTCAGAAATGTATTCTTGTCACGGGTGGAAAAGCCTCAACGATTATAAGTGGTGCAGACCTGTGTAAAACCTGAATATAATGTCTCGTTGGCACAAATTTAGGTTAAGGATCTTTATTATTTATCAGTATAGATTTTGCACAAGCTGCGTCATTGCTGCCATGTTAGAGCTGAAGTACATTTACTGGAGCTGAACCAGATCTGAATGGTCTGTTTTTTTTACAAGAAATCCACGCTCTTCAGCACCCTAAGTGTTTCTCTAATCACTAATCACTCTGATGGAAATGAGGATGAAATGGCTGAATTCAGTTGCTGCCTGTGAATTTTTCACTTGGGTGCTGTTGTTTGGTGAGATGTGTGAAAAAGAGAGAGAAGGAGAGAGGTCTTTAATGCATCGTTTGTATGAGACACCCATGTTGGTATTTTATACCGTGTTAAACACTGTATTCAGACTCAGACTGGGGTGAATTAACAGACAATATGACATGTCAAATCAGCGTGGCCGCCTGACGGGCTGACTGATTGAATCAGATCACATTATGATGAAAATACAGCTCTGTGTGTATGTGTGTGTGTGTATGTGTGTGTGTGTACTGTATGTGTGTGTGTGTCTGTGTGGATGGGGGAATACCCTTCCACTGGAACAGTCTGGAATCACGAGACTGTTGCCGTGGCAACACGAGAATGGGAATTTCCCTAGTAACAGACAGGACATGGAGAAAGTGGGAAGAGTGGGAATATCACATTGACGACTGTGGGAATGTCACCGTGGCAACAGCTGGCCACGTCAGGTTGGAATATGAGTAAATGGATAATTGGATGTTAGATGGATGAATAGACACATAAATAGATGATGAGCTGATGCAGAGTGGATGCAGCAGGACAGTCCCCTGTAGAGAAGTATCGATTTTTCATCCAGTGCAGCAGGGGGTTATGCAAACACCAACAATAACGCCATTTGAGTCTGTAATTGTACTCGTAATAGGGCTGGAGGACGTAATTAAAAATCTATAGCACCATAAATGATATCACATAAGATAAATACTTCAGTGCATTAAATTTCCTTTCATGTGCTGGCTCAGTCCTAATCAATTACAGTATGGCCAGTTGAAGATACTGGAATAGACTGTGAATTGATTGGTTAAACCTCTGGTTAGTAGGGCTACGCCAAACAGTTCGAAGCTCGGAAGCTTCATTTATAATGTTGACATTAGAATTATAAACCAAGCTCATTTGCTTTTCTTTTTTTGTGTATTCATCATGCTCACATCCAGTATTTCTGCACAGTTGCAGAAAAGATTATACTAATATTATTAGTATTATAACTATTAGCTTCCAGTCAGGCTGTTCCCATGCACTGTTCATATGTATACCCACAAAAAGTAAAGCACCAGTATTTGTGTAACTTAAGTAATCATAGACCAGAAATCTATTTTTAATGTATTTGAGAAGGCTGCGATCATGTGGCCTGCACTCTGATGGGAGTAAATAAGGAAATAGTATAAAGAGAGAAAGTCTGTGTAAGGAGGCAGGTTGACGTGGTGGATGGGTCAAACAAATGCAGGACTTTCCCCCAGACTGGTGTTTGTGTCCTGTGTGAAAGCAAATGAACTTTGAATTATTTTAAGGTACGTCATCATCATTTTTCTTTTCCTAAACCTAACCTCAGTAACTTTACTTTCTGAAACCTAACCTATGTAACTTTATGTTAAGTACGTAAAGTGACTGCACCATCCGTGGGGCAGTGGTTTGATAGTTATTATACGAACCATTGTAACAATAGTAATAATAACTCCAGAGGACTGAAAAAAAAGATAAATGTAATAATTTCTAAAATTCACAACCTGCTTTTTTCTGGTTCATTGCACAGTTGTTGGTGTTAAGCATTTCATAAACAATATTTTCACTGCAGTCAAAAAACAATTTGCTCCTCTGCTTGCTGCACACAAAGGGAGGCCTGCACCTGCATTAGCAAGATGGTCTTGCAGCAATCTTGACAGCACCATTTATTTATTGAGGAAAGTTGATTTAAGGAAGATACATTCATTTCATCTGATGAAGCACTTTATTCAAACTGAGGATTTAAAAAAAAAGAGAGAGATTAGAAACTTCATCTGAAAACATCAGTTGAAGCTTCAATTGTAAAGAATGAAATCAGAATAATAATCCAGTTTAATGCCAAGCAGGTTTCAAGAATTTGCTTTAGTGTATCGGTGCGTTACATAAACATAGTAAGAAAAAATGAAATTAAAAAATAAATACAAGTATTGCAAAAAATTGAGGGACACAAATGTAGGGTAGAATAAAGTTGTAATAAAAGTATGAGCAAATCATAATTAAAAATAGGTACAGTATATTTGAATTGAAATACAATTTGTACAGCCCCACTTGTTTAGTTATTCTCAGTTTAATTTTATGGGTTTCAGACAAACTGTTGATTTAAATTTGAGTAAATATTGGTTGATACAAGAAGATCCTTAATATTGGTAAGTACATACATTTGGTTTATCGTCTCCTCTTAAGTCAAAGTAACCAAAAAAATGTCTCTCCATGTCTAACTTTCAGAAATATAAATGTTTTTCTTCAAGCTGTTTTTGAAAAATGAATTGCCTGGACTTGAAAATTCCCATCAGCTGAGTCATAACACCAGCCAGGAGAGGCATTCTGATGTAACATGTCACCACTGAAATACACCTGCTGTAATATATATCCATATCAGACAGATAGAAACCAGCAGAAAGACAGATGTATAAACACAAAGCCAGGCTGTGTCTCCATATCTAATTCAATAACAATTAAAGATAAAGAAAACATGTTTTACATTATGTTTTTTTACATTTAACATGTCACACAGAAAAAAGATAAGAGACAATAAATTAAATTTCCAGAAGCTTCCACTGGTTGTGTGTCACAGAAACAAGCACAGAGAGATTGAAATGTGACTGATTTCAGTCGCTCTGCAGTGGGCAGCGTGTGCTGATTTCTGTTCTGCTCTGACAGATGGGTGCTGGGCAGGTAAACTTTGAATCATAAAGCAGCAAGAAAATATCACAGCTGACAGTCGCAATGATGTTTACTTAATGCAAGAGAATACAGACTGTGCTGCACTGTATTTATAGGAAAGAGGAAAAGAAAAGGGCAGCAAGGGGAGGAGTGTGTCTGTGCAGGGCTGCAACTATCAAGTATTTTAATTACCAATTAGTGTGTGGATATATATGTGTCATAAAGAATGACAAACTGTCCAGTCCTCTTTATGGTGGTGTGAGATCCTTGCCATCAAATTTAATAGCTTTCTTTTAATAAAAGTGAGATTTATCACAGGCTGCACCACACAACATGCCACAGTAAGTAGTGTGCTGGGAGTTTAGTCAGTTGGAGTGCTGGTTGCAAGCTTCACAGCTCCTCTTCCCTGCTTCTCCCCTGCTGCACAAGATGGATCCTTCACAAAGATGGAAAACACCCCTGCCTCTCTCTCTCACACACACACTCCTCGTAAACTGGGTCAGTGTTGGCTTTTTTCTGTCTCTGTGCATTAGAGTATACCTTTACTCATTCCCGCTCACACACACACATGTTCAAAGGGGATTCCCACCCTGCTATAGCTGCACCGACAAAGGCGAAGTCACTGATGTTTTGGAGAGAGAAAATGGGTGTGGTCACATGTAAGTGTGTGAGAGGAGCCATATTAAATAATCAGTGTCACCAACCAGCGAGTGTATGTTTATGTGGAAAAACCGTGCTCTCGATCTAATGATGACAGAATGGAACGAATGCCTGTCTGTACCTGTACGACGCAGATCCAGGCAGACTTGTATTTTTCTATCCTTCTATCAGTCTCTCACGCTCCGTCTTTATCTTGTGACTCAGTCAGTCTTTGTCCCTCGGCTCCTTCACATCCCCTTTGTCACATGTATTTGTAATCATTTTCTTTTATTATCAGTCATTTTGTATTTGTTGCTGAGATGCAAACAGTGGGAGGCAAATGTGACTGCTGTTTAATTGGAGCAATATGGATTAGCCAAGAGCACTGCATCCAGTGACTAAGAATTAGAAAATTAGCATTAGAGCAACAGTGATTTGCTTGTGTTTGCGATATTAGATCTGTAAGGATTTAAACATCTTAATTTGAAGCATCAATCAATAGTTATCTGTCTGTAACATTCTAGACAAACAGCTCAAGGTGGGGAGAAGCCATCAGAGGTATACACACTTGTATCTGAGTTTTGATAAGAGGAGTAATACATACAAACGCATATGTTGGTCTGTGGATAAACAGTAAACAGAATATGGAAGATACAAAGCCGTTATGAAGCTGCTCCACACCATCAAAGGTTCAGAAATAATTTATCAGCATTATTCAAGTGGAACAATGACCACGAAGGAAGGATTAGTCCAAGAATCCTGTAATGGATTGGATGTGCCTGACTAGTCTCCCCACAGGAAATCCCTCAGGATGCATCGGGTCGCATGTGGTCACATTGTTCTTTAATGCCAAACTGTGGTGTATCTCAAATGTGCCCTGCAGGATTTGTGCAGAAATTGATTTGTGGGGATGAATTTGTGGATACATTATTCTGTTGAAGCAATTTTTGCCTCATTTTATTTTCATTTGCGTGCTCATGTTTAAAGGCTGTCCTGATAATAAGATCTCTCTTCTCCTCCCTGTGTCTGTGTCTGTGTCTGTGTCTGCGTAGAACCACAGCTGAAGGGCATAGTGACCAGGTTGTTCTGCAGGCAGGGCTTCTATCTCCAGATGGGCCAGGATGGAAGTCTGGACGGGACCAAAGACGACAGCACCAACTCCTGTAAGTGGACTCACTGATGGATACCATACACACAATCAGGTGTAGGGCTGCACAGTAAATCAAATATTAATCACCGTATTGGCTTCCCACAGTTAAATAAACATGATCGACTGCAATGTTGATGTATTAATCATAAAAAAAACACACAAAAAAAAAACACTCCACTGCATATCAAATCAAGCGCTTCCTTAACTAACAGCAGCCACATCATCAATTAATAATTGTGATAAATAATCTTGATTGTCATTGTGGCCATAATCATCCAGCTGTAATCAGGTGTGCCAATATGTTACAGTAAATTTGGGAAAAACTGAGCGCCCTGTTGCTGCTGATTTCCTGTAATACATTTACTACAATAACTAGTCAGTTTAATTCACCAGGGCCTAAATTTCATCATTGCAAAAGAAAAGCCTTGACTCTCTCTGTCTCTCTCTCTCTCTCTGTCTCTCTGTCTCTCTCTCTCTCTCTCTCTCTCTCTCTCTCTCTCTTTCTCTCTCTCTCTCTTTCTCAAGGGCAAATAGTTATTTAGAGATTACATGTCTGTCTCTTGTCCTCATCTGATTTGGTGAAGGTCGAGAGACACTTTTTTCCTCGCTGTGAAAAGGAGAGAACAGCAGGAAGGATCTAATGAATCATAGTTATTATACAAATAGTTAAAAGGTTAAAGTAGGGTCAAGTTTCCCCATTTACAAGGACATTATAAACATATTGTGCTGCGACACCATCTATCATACGAGCATATTGATCTAAATGACTGACAGTTGTTGGCATCGATTGAAATTCACAGTATATGCAGTCAGAAAGACAGCAATGAGACAGCGATGGTGTTTTCATAGAGGGGACATTTCACGCTGTGCAGGGCAGGCTGTGTGTGTTTTCAGAGAGCACACCAACTGTTGGGCTGAAAGCGACAAGTGGCTGCTCAGAGGATTTAGTTTTTTAAGGCCTGGTTTATTAGACCTCTGCACCCGAACGCTGCCCTCAGGGAGGAGCTGCAGATAGATGGCTTATTGATTAATGTAGCCATTGCTATATTCTGATGTGCTGGGCTGAGAGAAAATCAAATGCTAATCAGTAATCACTACAGCAGGCAGCTCGCTGGTCCTCTCGACGTTGGCTGAGCTGGTTGCTCTCTGCCATCCGTGTGTTGCAGCAATGTCCCACTTGTTTACTATGATCCCTTTTTTCTGGCTAATGTCTTCACATCAATTTTTGGCGAACGTCTTCCCATCATCATTTTTGAAATTTCTGCCACAGCTCGGCATGTAGATCAAACAGAATTTACTGCAGCTCTCACTTGTAGCCAAGCTTGTATTTTTTTTTTATTAGTTTGTCAGTTTTCTCTGGCTGAGCCATGTTCAGCAGAGGGGAGACATCAGTGACATTTCCTGCAGCATTTAAAAGGAGGGTCGTCACCATGGCTAATCAGCTGGGTGCATATCTTTATGTTAATGAAGGCTGTGCATGAGCGCGATGGCGGTTTGGAAAGAGTGATATTTATGGAGGATGATTACTTGCAGGTGTACTTGCACACATTTAAATTTCTGCTGCTCATATCTAAACACTGTAGACGTTGGTTGTTCGAGACCATTTCTATGTAACCTTGATTAATGAGGGCTCTGATATCCCAGGTGTAATCAGCCCTTGATTAGAAAGAAAACCAGCACGGCTGTTGGTCCCAAATAGCACGTCCGTTTTTACGGCCTTCATTACAGGTCATTGTTCTGTTGTGTTGTGATTTCACATCAATTACACAATAATAACTACCTGTGTATTTCCTTTTGCATCAACTGTCTCTGGAGAATCCTCTGCTGCTGTGAAATGTTGATCAGATCGTCATACTGTACCCAGCATCCATGACAGTGTCAATAAAGTCAATTCAAAATAAATGAAAGGATGACTCTCACTATGGGTGTAGTTTCATCATGAAGCTGCCACCTCTGTCTTCTTGCTTTTGACTATCAAAGATAAAAAACAACACATAAATAATTTTAACCAGTTAAGTTGGTCAATGCCTACAGTGCCAGAAAGCCTTTTTCTGGAAGAAATCTGGAGGCCTGGAGGCAAACTTCTCCCAACAGCTATAAAACAGACTAACAACAAGCCCCAAAAATAACTGTTAAGGTTTGTAGACACAACAGTTGTGTTTTGCTAGTCACTCATTATTAGCTGAAGCACTTCTAGGTTTTAGGAGTTTTCCTCTACTTATAGCTTAACAAATAACATGTATTATTTATACTTTTTCTCACACATTTTTGGCATCAGTCACTGCGTCTCCCGACAGAACAGCACAGATTTCAGCCTGTATGCACGTTTTTTTAGCCGAACGTTATTAAAACAGAGCTGCTAATTTTGCCATTGTGAGAAGTTAGCTGAGTGAGATGCCCAGTAAGGTAGCTATGTTGTTTCCTGAGTATTTTATCTCATAGCGGCATTGCTTACTAGGGCTGCAACTAACGATTACTTTCATTGTCGACTAATCTGTCGATTATTTCTTCGATTAGTCGACTAATCATTTTATTGAAAAATGTGTTAAAATGTTGAAAAATGCTGTCTGTCTCTCCCAAACCACAAAATTATGTCATCTAATGTCTTGTTTCGTACTCACGTACTCAGTATTTTGGGGTACATTTATAGTACTTTTCTATGAAAAATGACTCATACCGATTAGTCGACTACTAAAATAGTCACTGATTATTTTAATAGTCGATTAGTCATCGATTAGTTGACTATTCGTTGCAGCCCTATTGCTTACATGTGGCATGTACTTTGTCTGTCATCCTATATTCGAAATCCAAAATATTCCCACACTGCTGATGAAATAATGTCATTTTCATCATCTTTCTCTTGGCTGCTTGCCCTTATCTGCCTAGAGCTGTTTGACTGTGACACAGAATTTCAAGATAAAGGTGCATCCTAAAGATGATGATATGGATCGTCGATCATTGAATTGATATATCGATCCAATATGACTGGATTTTTATTCATTAAAATCAACAGCTTCAGTCAATACTTCGCTGTCAGCTTGTGCATTTTAAAGTTTTGCAGCGGCTGCCTTCAGTTCAACATATCACAACAAACATCTTTGCTTTAATTTAGTCATGCTCTCAGAGAGGGCAACAGCCTTCAAAAAGTTTCATAGTTTAGCTTAGAGGATTAATTGAGAGTCAAGTGTTTCAAGACTAACCCATCTTCAACACATGAATGAGTTAGCTGTGTAAGCTAATCAGACGTTATCGGACAAAATGATCTCACTGAAAAATATTCCAAATAAAACCTGTTCACTGTGAGGTCTGTAGATTATTGAGTTTAACTTGGACTGTTTTCAAAAAGACAAACTGCAGATGAGCTCTGCAAATGTTTTGTGTTTTTTTATGTTTTGAGCAGCACAAACAAATTTCTGTTCATCTCCATTGTACGGAGGCAGTTATTTCAAAAGCCAGGCAAATGAAAGCAATGAATTCCCACACACTGTCAGCACCAAGTTTACTGACAATGCAGCAGTTCAGCTTTTTCCAGGCATCACACTCACAACATGAAACAATTAACGTCTTTATACTCGAGCCACGGGCTGCAACCACCAACCGAAAAAAGGAGTCAAACACCTGAGACAATTACACCATCAATAATTGATGAAAACATCCCTAAAATGCTTAACTAGCATTGGCTATAAGTGCTGTGGAGTGTTTTGCATTGCTTCCAAAAGAAAAACATGTTTTTATGAACTCCAAACCTACTGCACCCCATCCTCACTTCACTCCACAGGTTGATCCTGAGATTTATTTTGACCTTGTTGTATGCTGCAGCTTCAACAAAGCTGCAACTGGTAATATAAACATCTAACACATTTACCTTGGCAAATATGCTCGTTCATTGGAACATTTTTCATTAAAACATTGTGCTGGATTTTTCTAAAATTTGCACAAACATCCTGAATGTACAGACAGAGGCAGGATTCACCTTGAATTTAGTTTGACTTTGTCTCTGTCATAACAACTTCACTGTATGTGCTGTCAGCAGGCTAATCAATAAGTCTGTAATGATAAGAGGCATTCAGGTTAAAGAGGCAACATTTCAATTGACCTCAGAGGGAGACGTCTGGGAGATTGTCAACAACCTTGAAAGGTCACAGCTAATGATGGCCAATAATCAGAGTAATATTTGTCCCATTTTCACATTAGAGAGAAGACAGATACAGACGTACATCACCGTGGCAATATTAAAATAATTTTCAAGCCTCATTATTATCTTTTTACACTTTAAAACAAAAAGGTAATTGCTCTCTTATAGCAGCTCCTGTATCACTGTGTAATGTGAGTTTTGAAAGTAGAGAGGTTTTCATAGTTTGATTGGAATATTTGCTTATTTGTTATGTTAATTTAATGTTAATTCTGACTTTTTCACATATAGGCTATTATGATAGATGTTTGTAAAGCACTCCAGCTAGGCTTCTTCACACACCTCCATTTTCAAAGTTAACACAAAACATCCATTTGGTTTCTTCTTCCAAAAATGTAATCTATTACTGTCACTAAAAATCTGACAGTCACAACCTTCAAATATTAGTAATAAAAGAAGAATAGCTAATATGTCATATAAGTGAAACAAATCTAAAAGACACAAAACAGTAGGGGACTGTTGAAGTGAACAGTAGTGAACAAAAACAGCAGTGATACAAGCATTGTCCTTTAAAATACCTGCCCGAGGCTATAAGGGTGTGATCAGCTGTCTGTTTGGGTGCCATCACTGAATGCTGTTCTTCAAATAACACTGACCCGATGGAGCTGAAAGCATGACTGTGCCTTTGAAAACATAAACAAGAACAGGCTGATATTAAAATGTTGTGGAAAAATTACTCAGCTCAAATATAATACACAGGCCGAGCTCTTTCTTCACCTTAAGAGATATCCAAACTAAGTGAGCAACAAACCAACTGACACGTCAGTTCATAGAGCAGCGTATATCAAGAGGAAAAAAGCACACACATATGCACGTAAACTCAGTTTGTCTGTTTTTTTCCTCAGCTCTGTTTAACTTAATTCCTGTGGGTCTGAGAGTCGTGGCCATCCAATCAGTCAAGACTGGCCTCTACATCGCCATGAACGGGGAGGGTCACCTCTACTCATCGGTAAGCACGCACATACACACACACACACACACACATACACACACACACCACACAGTAGTCAAGAACACACACAAGGATGAGAAATTCCTGATGGACAGTGTCCATAAGATGTTTTGTTCCGGTAATTTTCACGTGTCTGTTTTTGTTGGTCTTTGTTTGTGCGGTGGGCAGTCCTGCTGAGAGCTTAATGTTTGTTTCTGGAAAATTATGGGGCTTAATTACAAATCATGTGTTGCTCATCCAAGTCTCGGGTGTTTGGTTTTAAGCTGTGGTAATTCTTTGTCGGACACAAATGGAAGTATCAGCCCATTTTGGCAAATCTCTGGTCATTTATAAGACCCTACTTTATCCACAGGAGGAAGGACAAATGGCTTACAGTGATTCAGGGAGGCACATCTGTTGACTTTAGTTGTCAGAAACAAAATTAAACAGCAAAGGAGGGCTGCAACTAATAATTTTTGTCACTATGCCCATTATGTTCATGATTAATCAGTGGTCCAATAGATATATAAACTGTAAAAAGTAAATAAAATCCATCACAAGTTCCCAGAGCCCAAGGTGACCCCTTCACATAGCTTGTTTCATCCGATATGCAGTCCAAAACCAAACAATATTTGGTTTATTGTCATACAAGATGAAGAAAATGTTCCTATTAAAGAGGCTTGAAACAGTGATTTATTTTCTGTAACCAATTTCTGTTTAAATTAAAAGGCGATTACCAAAATTGATGCAGAATGATCTTCCTGTTTCAGCCCTTGTGCAAAGTGTAGCTGTCCGCACACTGAAGACACGTTCTTAGCCGAGATAAATGGATCATTAGCCAGTTAACATGACAAACTCATCATCCCATCTCATTATGCTGCTCAGAAGAACCACTGGGTGATTTTAGTACAACTCCCTTCAGTTAGCCGGTGTGCAGACCATTACATTCACTGTGTCCGGGGACCCGTCTGTCTGCAGAGCCTCTCCTGCTCCGTCTGCAGCACAATGAGGCAAAATGAATCACCTCAAAGTGCAGTTACAGACAAATTTTGCTCTAAATTATACAATAACTAACTTGCATTTAGGTTTAAACTCAAAGAATTGAAGCATGCTTGATATAATAAAAGCTTTTTTCATGTCAGGAGACAGGTGCATCAGACAGAGTGAGGGAGAGAGCTGAGAAGACAGAGATAATTGCTTTTAATGGATGATAATGAAACATATTTGTCGGATTATGTATAGGTATGTATAAAGTAAGCATGTCTAAGTGTCCGTAAATGCCATTCCAGAGGCTTTTCCTCCTTGAGTGTATGATCCAGATAATGAAAACAAAATAAGGTTGCAAATGAAAAAGGCTAAATGAATTTAAAAACTAGAGCTAAATTAGTCAAACCTTTGTCAAATCACTGACATGAGAGAAGGATGAAGGAGGTGCAAGTGGAGGGGAAGTGAGGTAGAGGAGCAGCGGTCGGCTGCTAGGAGATCTGCCTGAGCAGAATATGAATTATTTCCATGCTGACTCTTCAGAGAGTTCACACTCTTTCACTGGCGTCGCTTCTCCTTGACATAATCCCTCTTTCCTCCCCTTCATTTCTTTTTTGGGGTGGAGATGACAGGAGCCAGAGAGGACGGGAAAGGAGGTGAAGGGAGGAGAAGACAGGAAAGGGGAGATGACGGAGTGAGGGGACAGGGGGAATAGAAATGGTTGGGAGGGGAGGAGATGAAAGGGGGGGAATGAAAGGGAGAGGTGAATAAAGGTGAGGCCAGGGCCAATCATGAAAGAAAGAAGGAGAGGGGAGAAGAAAGGACAGACTTCATTGGGAGGCAAAGAAAGGAGGTGAGGAAGAAATAGGACACAGACAATGAGAGGAAAAACGACATAGGGGAGGAGGAAAAGACTGTAGACAGGGAGTTAAAAGCTAGAGAGGAAAGAGGAAAAGGTAGACAGAGGAGGACAAAGATGGAGAGAAAGGAAAGAAAGGCTGTAGACAGAGGAGGAAAAAGGTGGAGAGGATGTAGGAAAAAGTTGAGGACAGAGTAGGAAAAACCGATAAAGGAAAAGGTTGTGGACAGAGGAAGAAGAGGATGGAGAAGACAGAAAAAAAGGCTGTAGACAGGAGGAAAGAGATGGAGAGGAAGGATGACAAGGTTGTAGACAGGAGGAGAAAAGGTGGAGAGGATGAAGGAAAAGGTTGCAGGCAGGAGAAGAAGAGATGGAGAGGAAGGAGGAAAAGGTTGTAGACAGAGGAGGAAAAGATGAGGAGGATGGAGGGAAGTGTTGTAGACAGAGGAGAAAAAGACGGAGAGGAAGGAGGGAAGTGTTGTAGACAGAGGAGGAAAGGATGGAAAAGGTAGGAGGGATGTGTTGTAGACAGAGGAAGAAAGGATGGAGAGGAAGGAGGGATGTGTTGTAGACAGAGGAGGAAAAGATGGAGAGGAAGGAGGGAAGTGTTGTAGACAGAGGAGGAGAGGATGCAGACGGCGGAGAAAAGAGGTTGCAGACGGAACAGAATAAAAGATGGAGAAGTAGACGGAGAAATGTTGTAGACAATAGGATGGAGAGAGGAGGTGTAGAAGAGAGAGGAATAATCGGGAGGAGAAAGACAAGAGATCTGTGCTGCTCTGCTGGGCTTTCTCAGCCTGTCGCTGAAAGTTACAGATGCATGAGGGCTTCCTGTAAATAATTGAAGAGGGGGAGTCCCCCCCTACACACACACACACACACACACACACACACACACACACACACAGTAGAAATCCCCTCTAAAGTTGCGTAGAGGGGAAAGTGAGGCTGTGTGATCATGTTCCAGCTCTGTGAGTGATGTGCAGGCAGTTACATGATAACGAATATATAAATTACATACAGCAGGTCTAATTTATCATGATGTCAGCGGCGCTTGATGTTTAATTGGCTGCTGCAAAGGTCCCGGCAGGTGTAGTGTGTGTTGTAGTGTGTGGGTAAGGATGGTAGCACTGCGCCTGAAGAGATACTCATTAAACATTACGAGGGTGCTATCACAGCTACACTTTGTTTTATCCTGGTCTGAACCACAGCAGTGACGTTTCCCTTTGTGTTTGCGTGTAATTGGTTTGGGTTCAGACCGAGAGCATCTTGTTTATCGGACACAGTCTGGATTATCTTTCATCCTGCCGGGTTAGTTATTGTGGAGGTGTCAGGAAGTCGATACAAATCAGATTATAGTTCCTGTACCTTCGACTAAACATGGTGCACTTATCAGCAGTCTTTGCTGTAACATGTTAGATCAGGCTGCATTTTGCCCTCGGAAGAATTTTTATTAACAAAAATAACTCAATACTCCTGGAACAAACACTCATCATGGTGTAAGACATCTCAGGCACACTGTGACTGCACTGCAATCATTATGATCAGAACATGATGTACTGAGTACAGCATGACAAGGTGTTTGTGGGGCAAATATGCTATTAATGCTGTTATTTTTAATTGCATTTAATATCTTTTTTATGTGTCTAAATGATGAAAGGACATGATTGTATGTAGCACAGTGCAGACAGACAGTCACGTATGTTCTGCATCCAAAACCCAGGGTAAATTTGGCTCATTGGCACCATGTGGTTACGTTTTTATTTTGAGATATTATGGCTCACATTTCTCATTACCAAAGGCAAAATAACAAGATGAACCTTACCAAAATGTGTCACAGTATATGTAGAACTGCAATTATTTTTCATCATCAGTTGATAATTTAGTTTATCAGTCATTTAGTCTGGAGGTTCCTAACTTTTTCTTTAACGCATCAGATGAGCTCATGTACCCCTTCATCAATACTATTGGTCAGGTTCCAAATGTGTTCATTACAATATATCATTAAGTGGATATTATACAGCATTATTCACAATATTTTACAATATTGTTAGAGTATTTTTTTCATACATATAAACTGTCGATGTCAAGGTTAGTTTGGTCAAGTCTACATTTGTACTACGGCTGGCAGAGGTTGGCATTTAGATATTTTAACCATTTAGCCAATACTTTTTCAACTGCATATCCATTACTTTTAGTTAACTCTTTTAGCTATTTATCCATTACTTTAAGTTAGCTATCTATTTCAACAGTACACACATTATATTTAGCTTGTATTTAAGCCTTTGCACATCACATTTACCTTACTGATTAGACTTCTCTGCTCGTTTGCCATCTTCTTTTCATGCGCTTACAATTACAACACATTCAAGTTACAGCTGACACCATATACTGCTTATTTTTTATTTTCTAATCAACTAGATTTTTTTTTCCCCCGAATTAGTGTAGCTGCACTGCAATATCGCATGTATGCCTTGGTAACGGCAGAAGTACCCCCAAGGGTATCTCTTTCCCACACACCCCAGTATCTCTGGTTGGGTAACACTTATTCAGTCCATGAAATGTCAGAAATGACTAAAAAAAAGCACATCACAGTTTCCCCTAACTCATAGGAACACTGTCAAATTTATTAAAAACCCAAAGATGTTCAGTTATATAACGTAGAGCTAGAGAAGCTGGACCAGCAACTGTTTGATAAATAAATGATTAATGAGTTCTCAAAATTGTTGACAGTTCTACTTATTCCCTAATCAAATGATTTTGATTTTTGCTTTTTTCATACTTTTGTCAATATAGCAACTTATCAAGATAATTCTGAAATAATTACTGTAATACCATTTTCAGCTATATTGCCTGCCCCGTCTCAAAAATTTAAATATCCTTTTATAGTGCATTCTCCATGCAACAGAGCAAGTTGAGCCTTGTTCCTAAATTTATGCTGCTCAGCTCCCAGTGAGATTCTTTATCCTCTTATTGCAAATTGTTAATGATATGCTGCAAACTTAGTTATACATGGTAGGACTATCTTATTAATCCCAGATCCCAAGCATCTGGCAGTGTGTGGCTGTGCACATACGTGTGGTGCGCGCGTGTGTGTGTGTGTGTGTGTGTGTGTGTGTGTGTGTGTGTGTGTTTTGGGCGTGTGTGCGTGCGACTAACAGATGGCACAGTGTGC